GTTGCTATTCTTTGTCCCGAAAATGAAAATTTGAAACGTTCAGTAAAGGACCTTCAGCTGTCACGGCACACTATTGAACAGAGAATAACGGACATTGACAATTCAGTAGAAACACATTTATTTTCAGATCTTCAGAAGTGCCAGTATTTCAGCATTGCATTGGATGAGTCATGTGATGTTCAAGACAAGCCACAATTGGCAATATTTGTACGGTTTGTGTCAGAAGACTGCGCAATTAAGGAAGAGCTGCTTGACATTGTGCCGCTGAAAGACAGAACTCGTGGCATCGATCTGAAAGAGACACTGATGACTGTTGTTGAGAAAGCAAATCTGCAGTTATCAAAACTAACAGCAATAACCACTGACGGAGCTCCAGCCATGTTGGGATCTGAGAAAGGTCTTGTAGGGCTGTGTAAAGCTGATGATCGTTTTCCAGAATTTTGGACGTTTCACTATATTATTCATTGAGAGCACTTGGTGTCTAAAAAGCTGAACTTAGACCACATCATGAAACCTGTACTGGAAATTGTCAATTTTATACGCACACATGCTCTCAATCACAGACCAAAAATCTCGATGAACTTGATGAAGATCTTCCATCTGATCTGCTTCTGCACTGCGGTGTGAGATGGCTTTCAAGAGGTAATGTGGTTTCTCGTTTCTTTGAGCTTTTGAATCCAGTGAAGCTGTTCCTTGCAGAGAAACATAAGGACTGTCCTGAGCTACATGATCCCCAGTGGATTTCAGATTTGGCTTTTTTGGTCGACATTCTGCATTATCTGAATGGACTGAATGTGGATCTGCAAGGGAAGTTAAAGATACTGCCTGACCTGGTGCAGAGTGTTTTCACATTTGTCAACAAACTCAAGCTGTTCAGGACACATCTCCAAAAGAGAGACTTCACACATTTTCCAACCTTGTTGAAGGCAAGTGGACAAGCAGCAGAGGTTGTAAAAGGGAGTACTGCATGATATGCAACACTGCTTGACAATCTTGAGAAAGGTTTTGAGGAGAGATTCTCCAACCTACATCAAAAAAGACCACAGATTACATTTCTGATCAACCCATTCACTGCTGAAACAAAAGCCCCTTTAGTAGAAGATGAAGCAGCATCTCAGCTTGAAATGATCGAACTTTCTGAGGATGACAGACTTAAAAGCATTCTGAAGGAAGGAACCGTGGAGTTTTGGAAGATTGTGCTGATTGAGAGATATCCCAATGTCAAACGGGCTGCACTCAAACTACTGTCAATGTTTGGGTCAACTTACATCTGTGAATCACTTTTTTTCGACACTGAAACAAGTGAAATCAAAGCATCGCCTCTGTTCTTACTGACACGCCTGTGAAAGAGTTACTACGAGTAGCCACAACTGAATACAAGCCAGACCTAAAAAAGATTGTGGAAACCAAGGACTGTCAGGTGTCCCACTGAGTCAAATAAAAGGAGGTAGGCTGATTTAAATCCATGAAAACTATTGTGTTATGTAATTAGGTGTATAAGTTGTGATACTGTTGTTTGCGCATCTGTTGTATGGCTCTTTGCAGTGATAGTTTTTTTTTTTTGGCTCATTATGGCAAACAGGTTCGCCACCCCTGCTCCATGCACATGTTGTTACGATGGGATTCATGTTTGCCTAGCTATGAACCATGAAGTGAGTAACTCTCCCCAGTCCTGCGTTTTTCCTGTTCGCCAGTTGCGAGGCCAGTGCCCCAACGCAGTGCAGTTACCTGAGTACCAGACTGTCTGTAACACTGTATGTAGTTCTGCCTGCATACCTCTCCGTTTTCTGAGATTGCTACCACACCATGCTGCTATCTGAGTGCCAGTAACCTTGTGCATTAAACCAGACCACCAGTAACACTGTGTACTATTCTGATTGTCAACTACAAGTGCACTTACCTGACCGTCAGAACTCTGTGCGCCAGTAATGCTATTCATAACTCTAGTTGCCAACTACACCGTGCACTATCCTGACTGCAACGTGGAGTACTGACCTGAGGAACCTCCTGGTTCCTGTTGTCTCACTCGCATACTCACCTGCACATCCTGGTCCTCCTGTTACCTGCCATCTCGTCAACTCACCTGCATGTCCCGATTCTCTGGTCCTCCTGTTACCTGCTGTCCTCCTGCCATCTCACCTGCCTGCCCTGGTCCTCTGCTCCTCCTGGTTCTTCGGCCAAGTCCCTCATGGTTTTGACCTGAACTGCTCTCCATTACCCACTGCCCTTCCATCCAGTCCAGTACCTGTTCAACCTCTTGTTTAGCACAACCTCTGATTTATGTAATAAACTATTTTCTATAGTCCCCATCTCCCTAGTGTAGTGTCTGTGTGATTGGGTCCTACACACGCACGCACCCACATAACAAACTCATGGGCAT